TTGGGTTTCAGATTTGAAAGAGTGCTTAGAGCTGTACATTTGTACAGAAGTCATTAAATGTGAATTAGATTTAATTTGATAATGGAGTGGCCTTTATGATGACTGACAACTGCAAGTCAGGCATGTCAGAGGCAGAAATAAAGAATTTATTTTCTGTTCTTTCTGCTCATGAACAATACTCTCAGTTATTATTTTTATATGTGTAAACACATGTAAAAATTATAATGTACCCACTTACCCACATTTACATTCTCTTTTACACATCTACAAATCTGAGTACATTTTCAGACTGAATACACATTTACAGATTTCTTTATGCACTGACAAAATTCATGCCCACACAGGCAGATTACTGATGCTTAACACATGCAGGTTTAAATACAGTTTCACAACTCTCCATGTGCATTTGCACATAATATTACTACAATACTCTTTTATTTGTACAATTTGTTTCAAATAGAAGCATAATTGTATTTTCAGTCATAGTTTTTTGTTTGCTCTTTGCTCTAAGTGAGGCTTAATCTCAGATTCCACATGCCTGATTTTCTAGATTCAAGAAAAAGCTGTACATGTCATTTATGTGGGTAGAAGAAGCATGGCTTCTTCTTCAGATATGGGTGGAAGCTGTTGACTGTCACCTTGTTCTCCACCCTGTTCCTATCCACAGCCGCCTTCCCCTCCCCCCACAGTCCTCCGCTACACTCGCACCCCCTCCCTCTGTTTTTCTCTCCTGCTTCGGTCGGAAATGAAGTCAGTCATCCAGCAGAATAACTTGGAATATTTGGAATTGGGGCTCCTTTCTTTCTGCCCCCCCCTCGCAGGCCCAGGCCAGCTGATCTGCTTCCGCTCTCAATTGTGTGTCCAGTCGACTGTGTGCTCCCAGCAAGGGGCTTGGAGGCCAGCCTTTGTCTCCACCATCCTACTCTGAACTTTGTGTGTGTGTGTGTGTGTGTGTGTGTGTGTGTGCCTGTGTGTGTGTGTGTGTGTGTACACGCGCAGGTGTGTGTGTGTGCGTGTCTTGCAGCAAGTTGCAGTGAGATATCTGTTTATTTTAAGAAAGGACCAATTTTATTGTGAAGGAAAAAAGAATGGATCCATTTTAGTCTTCTGTAAAGGTTTTGTCTAATACTTGACGGTCGAGTTGGGATTAGTTGTTGGTCTGCAAGTCCTACATATGTACTGTAGAGATTTATATTTAATTACTGAATGAACTTGTTTAAGGTGTGTCTGTGGTTTTTAAAACAAGGTTGTCAATAGCGTTTCAGGCTGGATGCAAAAATGCCCATATGCATAGTACATTTAACTTCCTCTCTGGGCCTAGCCCCCCTCCCTGTGAGTGTCATGGTTGCTGGCATGTGTGTGATGGTAGGTCTGAAGGGTCAGGCCCTGGTCATTGTGCCCTGGTCATGGCTGAGCGACACCACCGCCTGCCTTCTGTTCACCCCAGGGACCCCTGTCTGACTGACAGCCCCTTCTGCACCCATCACCCGCATCCTTTATTGGGGGCCATAGAGGGGTGTAACAGCAGCAGTATTTTCCTCTTTTACTGCCTGCTATACTACTCAAAAACACATTTTTTTTCTGTTGTGGCAGAGGTTCTCCTGCACTACTTTTGTGGCCTGCTGTTACAAGACATAACCAGAAAGGGTGATTTCTGTGAGGTTGCAAGGGGGAGGTTACCTGTACTTGTGTCAGTCTCCTGCGACCAGTTAACGCTGAATAAGCCTGGGGCTGCACATTAGAAACAAAACTGATGATTGTGCTATGAGTGCATTTAGGTCCACAAAAGATTCACCTTATTGGTAATTCAATAAAAATATGTGTCTGTTCTTGTCCAGCCTTCTGCTTTTTTACTCACCCATATTTGTTTGATTGGCAAAACGTTTGCTTATTTTTGGAACAGTTGAATCAGTAAGTGGCAGTAAAATCACATCGTAATCTTTGAAATGTCCTTGGAATTGTGATGATTATAATAACAAAGTAAAAGTCTTCCAATGTTGTCCGTTTTTTGCACCCTGGTTGGCAAAGCTTGCTGAGAATATAGACAGACTGGCATGGCATCAACTTTCAACAGGCAGAAGTGTGCACAGCTCTACCAAATTCAATATCACCAATGGATTTGATAGCCATTCAGTCTGACCAAAGGATTGCTGGTTTGTATTGATTTGTGAACAATTATGGGAAGGTCAAAAAGAGGAGAGATAATAGGGACATACAGTATATTTGATATATATAGTATGATATATAGTTATTATCTTGCCCGTAGATAAGCCCGTAACTGAACAGATGTGTCTCTGTCTGATGGGAGAAGCATTCAACTGTATGGCTTGGATTTAATGCAGTAGAAGTAACACAACTAACTCAGCATTGCGATATAAAACTTTCTAAAAGGGATGTAATAAATCACTGATTACAGATTTTTAATCAGCTCATGTAGGTTTGGCTGGATTATAACAATTAAAATTTTCTGGAAAGCCAGATAAGCTTGAGTAACTAACCAAAATGTAGTTTTCCTAGTTACATTTTACAGCGATTTCTTTGGTTGAAAGAAGTTTTTATTTGTTTTCTGTTAGCTTATGCTGGCCGTTCTATCTACACCAAGCAGCTACAGAGTCAAAATCATCCTTCATTTGTATTTTTTCTGATTACCGGCAAAATATAAGTCCAATATTCACTCTTCATTTAGCCTATTCGAAGGGAAATGCCTGTGCACTGTATGGTAATGGGCAGGT